AGGGAGCCTTCGTGGCAATGTAGGATAAGTACTCTACTGCTAGCCTCAAGGTCAGCAGTTTAAACCCACCAGCCACTCTGGGGGAGAAACATGAGGCTTTCTGTTCCCATAAACATTTATAGCCTCAGAAACCCTATAAATGATTGCTGTGAGTTAGAATTGACTCTATGGCAGTGGGTATAGGATTGTTGCATGTGATATTAATGATGTTGTTTGATGATTTTTGCATTCTGTTGGGTCACCTCTCTTTGGAATGGGCACAAATATGGATCTCTTCGAACCGGTTGGCCAGGTAGTTGTCTTCCAAATTTCTAGGCATAGACGAGTTAGCGCCTTCAGTGCCACAGTCGTTTTATATCGCTTGCAAGTAATATTTTCTGTCACAATTGAAAAACAGTTGAAGCAGCACATTAACCAAGAGCTACCAGAAATTCAAGCAGGATTCAGAAGACAACGTGGAACGAGGTACATCAATGAAATTTGAGAATCCCAGAAAGATATTTACTCATGTTTTATTGACTATGTAAAGTGTTAAAGAGCAAAGATGTCAGTTTGGGGGAACTAAAATTCACTTGGCCTAAGTCATAGTATTTTCAATAGCCTCAAATGCACAGCTTGTCATGATCCACACAATCGAAAGCCTTTGTGTAGTCAATAAAACACAGATAAACATCTTTCTGATATTCTCGGCTTTCAGCCAAGATCCATCGGACATCAGCAATGTCCAGCGAAAGCTGGACAGTGAATAAAGAAGACCGTAGAAGAATTGATGCCTTTGAGTTATGGTGTTGGAGGAGAATATTGAAAGTGTCATGGGCTGCCAAAAGAACCAATAGATGCATTTTGGAAGAAGTGCAGCCAGGGTGCTTCTTGGAGGCCAGGATGGCCAGACTTTGTCTCTCATACTTTGGACATATTGTCAGGAGGGACCAGTCGCTGGAGAAGGATATCATGTTTGGTAAGGTGGAGGGTCAGAGAAAAAGAGGAAGATCCCCCAACAAGATGGATTGGCCAAGTGGCAGCATGGATGGACTCAAGCGTGGCAACAGTAGTGAGGTTGGCCCAGGATCAGGCAATGTTTCTTTCTGCTGTGCATAAGGTCGCTGTGAGTCGGTACCAACCTGATGACACCTAACAACAACAACATCAACATATGCATGTGAAAGTTTGACAGTGAAATAAGACCTACCATAGAAGAATTGATGCATTTGCGTTACAGTGTTGGAGAAGACTATTGAAAGCACATGACTGCCAGAAGAATAAACATTTGTCTTGGAAGAAATACAGCCAGAATGTTCCATAGAAGCTAGCATGGCAAGACTTTGTCTCTTGTACTTTGGACATGTTGTCAGAAGGGTCCAGGCCCTGGAGAAGGACATCATCCTTGAAAAAGTGGAGGGTTAGTGAAAAAGACGATCTCCAAAAAGATGGCTTGAAAGTGACAGCAACAACGGGCTCAAACAACAACTGTGAGGAAGGCGCAGGACTGGACAGTGTTTCATTCTGTTGTGCATAGGATCTGTATGAGTAGGAACCAACTCCAAGGCACCTAACAAAAGCCATTGATCGTTTGTACCCAGAAACTGATAACAGTTCCTGCATATTCTTTGAAATCTTACATTCAGGAAGTCTTTAGTGGATGTTACTTCACTTGAAACTAATTAAGAAGGGCCCTAGCATCGTTTTAGAGACGGAAAATGAGACCAGGGATGGCTCTGGACACTCAGTCGGCAAGCAGCAAGTCAATGCAGCGACCCAGCTTGACCCTGCATAGTGGTTACGAATCAGGCTGCTAACCACAAAGTCAGCAGTTGGAAACTACCAGCGGTTCCACGGGAGAAAGAGGAGGCTTTCTGCTCCTGTAAAGATTTACAGCCTCGGAAACCCTACACAGGGTCGTTGAACCGACTCCTCGGCACACAACCACCTCCATCACCAGTGCAAAATTAAATCAGCTTTGTTGTTGCTGTTGTTAAGTGCCGTCGAGTCGACTCCGACCCATAGCGACCCGAGGAACATCTGGTGAGCTTGAACCGCCAATCTTGCAATTCAAACGGCTTCGCAGTCTGGCGCATTAACCCACAGCGCCACACCAGGGGTTAAATGGACTAGGACTTAAATTGACAGCAATCAGAATCCTGTTTGACTTTTAAAGATGAGAATGATTTAACAAACAAAACAAGCTACCTATATGGGTCGGAACCGACTCGACGGCACTTAACAACAACAATCCTTAACTAGCTCGAGGCCGATTTATAAAAGTGGTCGCTTGTTGCCAAGCGACCAGCTTTACCAACTTTCGACCAATACGGAAACTGTTGGCACAAGAACTTCCTCTCGGCGTCAGTCGCGCTTGTACGCATGTGCTAAGGCCCGGCGGAAGGAGGTACTCTTTTCTTCCGGGCGACAAAGGAAGTGGTTCGGTAGCGCATGCGCGGTGTCCTCGCGGTAATCGGGACCGTTTCCAACGCCAATGTGAGGCATCCCGGCATCTGGGGACTCCTGCCCGCTGCACCTTGCCCTTTCCCTGGTTTCAGAGCGGAGCAGCAGGCTCCCTGGTCCTCCCAGCCCTCCGCTGTTGGCTTCTGGCCGCGACGCGACTCTCAGGTAGGCCCCATGTTGCCTCCCCGGTAACCCGACGCCATGGCGCCAGCGGAGCACGGCTGCCCCTGCGGAGTGCGCGTCTGAGGGAGATGCTGAGGGACGAACAGAGCTGTTGACCGGGCTTCATTAGTGGCCCCTGGATGGGACATGGTAGCTGGGAAGAGCCTTCGGGGACCCCTTCAGGTGTTTAGAGAAACTGAGGCTCCGGGGAGGGACACTCCGAGTTGGTGGCCGTGTCTGACTCCTCTCCCTCGAAAGCCCTTTCCGGTCGCATGTCAGGCTCTCGGGACGCCTGTCTGTCTCCCACGCTGATCGCCTTCTTTGCTGTCACTCACCGGTGTGTGGAACTAAGCTTTGCTCTCTGTCTTCCGCGGAGAAATCCCTCGGCTAGTTCGTTCCCGGATGATTTACTAAAGGCCGGCGGCTGCGGGGCCGGCGGGAGAAGAGGGGGTGCTGCGGGGGGCTTAGAGCCGGTAGCTAGACTGGCGGGAAGGCTCCGAGGGGGTGACGTTTGAAAATGATGATATGGTTCATAGCTTCCCTGGAGTCTCGTTAGTGCCGTCCAGGCGCTTCCGACTCACAGCGACCGTGTACAGCGTTTCCGAGCAGCGGCTGGTGGGTTTGAACCGCCGACCTTGGCGGCACAGCCGAGAGTATCGTGCGCGTTCCGTAACATCCACTCGTTTCAAGGGCACGTTCGGGGGGGTGTGGGAGAGTCGTAGAGGCTGAGACCGCTTCCGTTCCTGCAGAAGGTCCTGGGGTCTGGAGGTGGGAGGGATGCGCTCTGCCTTGCTGTGTGTCCAGCGCCCAGGAGAAGCCAGCAAGAGGGGGACCAGGAGGTCAGGCGGAGGTGTGGACGTTTTCAGTGCACAGTGTGCATGTGGTCGGTCCTGACTGCGTTCTTGCCTTGTGTCCCAGGCTCGTTCTCCAGAGTTCATCCCTGATGGCAGAAGTGTCCCCTCTTGTGCTCGGTGGGGAGGGGGAAGGAGATGGAAATAGCTCTTCTGAAGACCCTGTGCTTAATGTGCGTGTGACCTCACTTAGTTCTACACTTGGTGTGTTTGCATGTGCTTATTTGTCATGAGCCACCATAGCCCTCCCACAGCCCTTGGGTGTTTCTCCATTCATAGCTGCCCTGAGTGTGGAGAGATAACACCTGATAACAGGGTGTTAACAGGAAAGGTGGCCGCCATGGGAAACTTCCTGTACAGAACTGACGCTATGCCTTCAGTGTACTACTGTCTTTCCTGGGTGGGTGGTTCCAGGACTCCTCCTGCGATTCCAGAATCCCAAGATGCTCAAGTCCCTATGTAAAGTGTGCATGTAACCTAGGCACATCCTTCCTTAGACTTTCAATCATCTGTAGGTTATACTACCTAATCCAATGTAAAGACTGTGTAAATAGCACCTTACACTCCCCATAGCCTTGGAGGGATGGCTTAGATCACTTAATCCCCCCATCCGTCCCCCCCACCCCCCAATATCTTCAGTCCTTGGTTGGTTGAATCTGTGAATGGGGAAATGGCAAGTGCAGACGGCCACCATATTTGTATAATCCAAGTATTATGTAGACTTACTCCTTGGAAGGAAAAAAGGCCATGTCGAGTACTCCACCCCTTATGCACTTGATGCTGCAAGCTTTCTGTGAACATAATCTGATTTGCCCCTCAGGACAACCCTGGAGAAGGTGTGTTTGCAGAGCAGGAAAATGAGGCTCAGTGTGGGAAGGTTAGGGTCCCAGCCCTGGAGACTGGCAGAGGTACAGTGCAACCCTGCTGGGCCTACTAGACTCTGGCACCCAGGAAGCAATTTGCTAGGTCAGTGTCCAAAACTATTGGTGCTGCGCCAGACCCATTGGTACCCAAGCAAACCAGAGTGGATTACTTTAACTCTTCCTCCGAGACATGGCAGAAGGACTGGCAAGGCCAGCTGGAGACCTCACTGGATGGGGACCTTGTGCCTGTGTGCTCTTGTCTTGGTGTGCCACTCGGTTACTCTGTTGAAGCAGCAGATTTTGAGACTGAGCTGATGACTAAAGGCCTGCTGCTGTGTTGAGTCCATGTTGGCACCTTAGTTGTGACAGAAGCGCCACAGTAGAGGAGGGTGCTGCTGTCGGGGTGTGTGTCTGCCGTAGATGGGCGCTCGCTGCCCTTTCGTGGGTTTCTCTGAAACTAAACCTGTTCTAAAGTAAGTTTATTTAGAATGCACCCTGCTTGACATATAGCTATTTCCATTACTGCCGAAAAGAGACACCTGGCATTAAGCCATTTAGACTCTATTTTTCTCTTGTGGTCCATGTTTGTTATAGCTTTCAGTGTCACTTACTACTCAAAAAGCATGTTTTTTTGTAACATTTTTCATTAATTTTTTTTTTTTTTTTTTTTTTTAGAGTCACAATGAGTCTGTTTGGAACAGCCTCAGGTTTTGGAACTGGTGGGACCAGCATGTTTGGCAGCACGACCACTGATAATCACAATCCTATGAAGGTATCACAGAAAGCTTCGTGGAGTTTTTAGGGAGAGGGCAGACCAGGGTTTCCACATCAGATGGCGGGAGATGCCAAGATGGCTTAGGCCTCCTCTGGGTCTTCCATTGTCTAGTGCAGAGTTCTCAGTCACTGGAGCCCAGAAAGTGTGTCCCCTGGACCAATGTCCTACTACCCACAGCTTGTCCTGTCACTGGACTCACCATTGTAGATTTCTGGTGGCCTTGACCACAGCTGTCATATCAGAATTTCCACGGGAGGTGCCCCGGTGAGTGACTGCTGTGATCAAGCACTCTGGGGCAAAAGCTGCTGGGACCTTGGCAAACGTGTCTGGTGTCGTGTTTGGAGAGCATGGCTGGGACCTTGGAGAGCATGTCTGGTGTCGTGTTTGGAAAGCGTGGCTGGGACCTTGGAGAACATGTCTGGTGTCGTGTTTGGAGAGCGTGGCTGTGGGTGTGGTCATCGCAATGCCAGCCTTCCACTGGCTTATCCCTCCCCTTGTGAGGAAGGAAATGTCCACCCGGGGGTTTGAGAGCACCAGGGAAGTCCTTGCTGCAATGTCCAGTGGGAAGGCAAACAATTGTGAGTGGAGTTGTAAAGATGTGTATTCTCACATCAACTTTCTCCTCCAGGATATTGAAGTAACATCTTCTCCCGATGACAGCATTGGTTGTCTGTCTTTTAGCCCTCCGACCTTGCCAGGGAACTTTCTTATTGCAGGATCCTGGGCAAACGATGTAAGTGCTTCTTCAAGGAAATGTGTATCTTTGTATGGGCAAGGTTAGCTTCCTTTTTTAGTTTATTTTTTCGTTCTGTTCTTTTCCAAGGAACTGAAGCAAAGTTGAGGCTCAGTTGTGGTTGCCATAAAGAAATCAAATTAAAAATCAGTTTGTTCAGTGTGTTCAATCAGATGCAGTATTGACTCAGAGTCACTGTTACTCATGGTGACATGTGTGAACACATCTCCCTTCATGGCATCCTGGGCACGTTCTTCATGTATACTTCAGATTGTCTTAGAGTTTAGGTAAGCCTGTGTAGACGTTATCTCTAACCGCTGTACAAAAGGAAAGATGAAAACAATGGATTTGGTTTGGGTTTCTGTGTTTTGTGGGGATTGTAAAGTTTCTGGTAGAAAAAGAAGCAAGGCATAGGAAGAGGCACTGTAGAAGAGGGTACAGGTGACACTTCAAGTCCCCTAAAACCATTCAACCTCACCAGTGACCAGGGATGGACAAACTTAAGTATGGACTTTTTTCCTAGCAAATTAACAAAAATAAAGCATCTATAAGAAAAAGCTTAGGGCTGGCAAGGATACGCTGAAACCTCATAGGTGCTGTCAGTATGTATGGAAATAGTGGCCTCGTGGCAGTAGTAGTTAGGAACCCTGTGTTATTACCTGTTGTCTCATTAGTTCCCCTCTGGAACCGGAGGCAGTCACATAATGCACCTTATGAAGAGTATCTGCCGAAGTCTAGCCAACAGTCACAGCGGGAGGAACCGATCCTTAGCCCTGTTTGGTGGGCCCGAATGCTGAGAAGTAAAACACCTGACCCGAGCTCACAGATCTGAGCCACTTACAAAGCTGGGGTGCAGGCCCCGTGCAGTGTGGCCAAGGATTGGGGCACCTAGACACTACTAATTCTTTCCTTGAAAAATATTGCTCTGTTACATTCTGCTAGCCCTAACACTACTGACAATTTTGAACAAATGGTGACATCCTGTAGTAATGGTACTCTGTGGCATGTCCATAGGATGTGGTTGTTACGTGCGGTCAAGTTGGTTCATAAAGTAACCCTGTACAGGGTTTCAGAGGAGCGGCTTATGGGTTTGAACTGCCAACCTTGCATTTAACAATCCAGTACTTATCCTACAGTGCCACTCAAGGATTCCAAAACTTAATTTAGATGATAGTCAAAACACTATGATAGTTTAGCTAGGAGTTGGGGCAAGGTTTCCTTCTTAAAAAGATTGCTATAACAATCATATAAATAAAATTACAAAAAGATCATATCCTAAAAACTTCTTGTCAAGTCAATTCCAACTCATACTGTTTAAAAAGTTTTTAGAAAGGGTCTTCAAATTGTGACTTGAGGTATGTGAGGAGGGCAGAGGGGCAGCGGCAGGGCACATTTGGGAAGGATGGTAGCCAAAGTAGAGCAGATTTGTTTCGGGAGAAGATTTCAATTGTTGATTGTTGTTGTTCACTGCTAAACAAAACGTGTAAGGAGAGCCATATCAGGAGGCTGTTTTTTGAGGACTTGACAGTACAGTGAGAAAAGGTACAGTTAGAAAACACAAGTCGCTGAATAATCTGTTAGTTTAGTTTTTGTTTTCTGGAATATATATGAATAGAAAGGAATGTTAATGGTGGTCTGGGATGAGGGTTGATTCTTTTTAATTTTCTTGTCATAATTATACAATCTCTTATGTAAAATGCATGGTTCGTGTAATCCAGAAAAAAAAATGATAGAAAAATTCAGAAATTTTAAAGAGGAAAGGTAGATTTCTGCTTTGGTCTTATTCCCTTAAGGCGATGGGTAAGTGACACTCTTTCTCAGTTCACAGGTGTGGTGGGAAGATTATCAGCAGTTTGGTACAGGCAGTAGAAGCTGTATCTTTTAATGGATTAAACAACAGAAACATAGCTGCTTATATGCATTTCTTACTTTGCCCTTAAAGTTATGTAATGAGGTTGGTATGAGAGGCCTATGTGCATTTAAAGTGTACCCTCCTAGTTTTTAGGTGTTAAATTATCTGATATATTGTTTGCTTGATTTCTGTAGGTTCGCTGTTGGGAAGTTCAAGACAGTGGACAGACTATTCCCAAAGCCCAGCAGATGCACACCGGGCCGGTACTGGACGTTTGCTGGAGTGATGTACGACTCAGCAGCTTTTAGCCTTTCCTTCTACGTAAAGTACAATGTAGTTCATAGTACTTAAAAACCCTGCAACACAAATAGCACATATGTGTACATGTTGTAAGGAGCCCTGGTGTCACAGTTGTTAAGTGCTTGGCTGCAAACGGAAAGATCAGTAGCTGGAACCCACCGACTGCTCCCCAGGAGAAAGCTATGTCGCTATGCTCCCATAAAGGTCTGCAGCCTTGGAAAGCCTGGGGCGTGTCTACTGCCCTGTAGGTCACTAGGAGTCGGGACCAACTCAACAACAGCGGGTTTGTTTTGGGCTTAGGCATTTTGTGGGAATTGTAAGTTTCTGAATGTAAATACAATAATTTATTGCTATCTTCCCAAAAGTCCCAGCCTTGAGGACCCTACGTAGTCTGCAGACCTGGAGTTGGCATGAGTCAGTTGGCTTGATGGCACCGAAACAACATCAGCGTCAGTGTTTTTAGTATAGTTGGTGAACGCTCACTTGAAGTTGTTCCTCTCTCAAAGCAAACAATGCTGAGAGCTTTTCTGGCATTAAAAACACTATTTTATTGACATGTTATCTTGAGAAGGAAGGCCGATCATTTCCTAAAGCCTTTCCAAGCTCTAAATATGCCGTGACCTTAGAGTGTTTACAATTAGAAATGTACTCTCCCAGAAAATAAATTCTAGAAGACAGTAGACCCATTTCTATTACTGAATGTTTTGTTTGCCACAAAATTCACTTTCCTCCCCAAACCCTGAGCAGCAGCATTATACGCCCATATGTGTTTGTTCAGCTTTGAGACAAATTGAGCAGAATGTGAAAAAGAAAAGGGACCCACGTGTCTATAGCTTTTCAACCATTGTCTTCTTCAGTCCAGGCCTGACTTTAGATTTTGGTTCTGTCACATCTGGCTCCTGACTTTACTAAGCTAGTTAATCTCCCTGCATCTGTGAAAATGAAGGAGGAAGTAAGAAAAATACAACAAATCATTATCGGTACCGGTCGTGCCCTGAAGACCCGGGCTCTGAAGTCAAGCTCAGAATTGGCAAACCTTGTGTTCATGAACTTCAGGCTCTTTCAGGGAAGGACAGACAGACACAGAATTAAAGAAGTCTTTCAGACAGTGCGAGTTGTGACAAGCCTGTGTCTGGCAATGAGCCTGGTGCCCGTCGTCAGCGGGTGCTTACGGGCGTGCATGGGGGAACACAGCAGGTGAGGGCTGAGGCACCTGAGCAGCCTCCTTTGTGGAAGCCGATAGAGGGGGAGTGGAAGAGGCCTTGCAAGAAAAGAAACGATTTCTTTGACAGCATAGGCTAGGAGGCCTGGTGACACAGTGGCTAAGTGTGTGACTGCTGGTACGCCCAAGGTCAGAACCCACCAGCTGCTCCATGGGGCAGGTCTCAGTCCTGCAGGCTCGCTCTAAGTCGGGGTCAGCTCGGCAGCCCTGTGCCAGGGGCTTCTGCCATCCTCTCGGGATGTGGCTCACCTGCGTAGCCACGTGGCCACTGGAGCTCAGCATCACAGACTGGAGTGGGAGCATCACTGCTCTGCCTGGCTCTGTGGAGGCGGGGAGGGTGAGCAGGCAGGAAGGGCAGCCTTTTGTGATAATTTTGGGGGCTGGACCATTGCACTTATGTACTGTGCTGTCAGGGATTTGTAGAGTTAACCTCGTGGCTTCATTAATAGTGTGAGCGGTAGGTTTGTCTCGCAGATGGAGAACTGATGGCTTCAAATGGGAAGAAACTTTTGCTCGCGGTGGTTATGATAAATCTTGGAGTTGTGGAACCAGAAGTGAAATCTGCTGGCCAGGGCTTGACAGACTTTGGTCCTTGAAGCAAATCTGGCCTATTCCTTGTTTTTGTAAATATATTGGAGCACAGCCACACTCATTCTTTTATGTCATATCTGAGGGAGCTTCAAGAAGTTCGTGGAAAATGTAATGAATGGAATTTTTCCGTGAAGTTTTTAAAACCCCCTCGTATATGGCAGCATTCAAGGTACAGCGATAGTTGGATTGAAACAACTTTTTATGCCACTAAGTATCCGCTGCATAAAGAAAAAAGTACCGTGTGTTACCTTTTCCTATTTAACTGGTTGTTTTAAACTATTCTACAGTTTAGGTTGTTTTTTGTTGTTGTGAAATGCCGTCGAGTTGGTTCCGACATTTAGTGACCCTGGATAGAATTTCCAAGGAGCGGCTGGTGGGTTTGAACCACTGACTGAGGTTAGCAGCCCAGTGCGTAGCCTACAGTGCTACACTAGTACTCTACAGTTGAGGTCAGACCGATGATTATTTTTAATGGTCTGTGGTAACATACACAGGTAATAGGACACACTGAGACTATCCCTGGAGAAGAATGGGAAGGAGGGAGACTTATTTTTCACTAATCTTTATGTGCCGCTTGAATTTTAATCCCATTCGTATGTTGTCTCTGAAGCATAATTGATCATTAAAAATAGAGCTAGAAGAACATGTTTGGTACCTGACACTGCAGTTTATAATACACCATCCCCCCAAATGATTTGAAATTACAAAAAACAAATGATGCTCACTGTAACATCTAAGTGTATGCAGGGGGGTTTTGTTTGTCATAGAAATGCCAATGTTTCTGTTTTTTGTTTGGTTTTGTTTTTTTATTGTAGGATGGGAGCAAAGTATTCACAGCCTCGTGTGATAAAACGGCCAAAATGTGGGACCTCAACAGTAATCAGGCCATACAGATTGCACAGGTGCCAAGAACTTACTGGCTCTCCGCAGAGGTGCTGGGCGGGCCTGAGGCGTTTCACTTCGAGTAGTAGCATTCTTTGTGTAAAACATACAGAGCTGGACTCGTCCACGTTCATCCAGGAACCTTTCACATGAGAAGAACACCAGTATGGTGGCCATTCTCATCTGATCAGCATCTCACAGAGTGCTCTCTTCTGGTCCTCCAGCTATGTGTAGAGTAGCCTTCTCCTGAGGAAGGCATCACAAAGAGTTGGTGACATTCAGATCTAGACCAGACAAGTATTACAAGTGTCCTTGTCATTCACCTGCTTGGTGTTCCAGCCTCCACGTGTGGCTGGCCTTGTACCAGCGGTATTAGTCACTCATTCGTGCAGTAAATGTTCCTTCGGGATGCTCCTTCCTTCCTGGGGCTTGTGTTGCCTGCTGGGGTCACTACAGAGATTATTGTATGAAAGGTGCTAAGAACGGAGGAAGTTGACAAAGGTCAGAGACGTAAGGATCGGCCTGGTCAGGAATCCAGGAGCGCCTTTTCAGTCGGTGTCACGTACTGTAACCATGGTGTGTGTTAGAAGCACCTCCTCCGTCCCATGTCCCCATCTTCTGAGTAAATGGAACTATGGTGGCTTCCTTGTTCGTTACTCTTGTCACTGCTGAATCTTTTCTGACTCTCGATAATTGGTCACCTTCACAATCAGGTGCAAGTTCGTGAACATGGGAGGTAGCTGGAGGCTGTTACACTCGAGACTGCAGAGTTCTGACCATGGGAGGGAGGGCCTGCCTGCCTCAATAGCTAAATGGGCCCCTTCTCTTTAAAGCCGTCAGACACCTTGGTAGGTATGTCCTGACCTGGGTTGCTTTTGTCTTGTTGAAAGCATGATGCTCCTGTGAAAACCATACACTGGATCAAAGCACCAAACTACAGCTGCGTGATGACCGGGAGCTGGGACAAGACATTAAAGGTACCACACAGCACAGGGGGGTCCTGTGGCCCTAGTAGTGTTGGCGTGTGTCTGTCTGACTTGCTCTCAGCAGTGACTTACTGATTTCCTTTTGGTTTTAGTTTTGGGATACACGCTCATCAAACCCTATGATGGTTTTGCAACTCCCGGAAAGATGTTACTGCGCTGACGTGGTGAGGCTTTCTGCGCCGAATTGTTTGTTCACAGATACTGTCTTTGAGACGGGGCCCTTTAAAAACAAAATAAACGTTTCTTATCATAATAAGTTTGGCACTGAGAGCTTGATCTCTGAATCTCTCAAGCTTTAATACTAGCCTTTGGAGGTGCAGTTAGATTGCCTTGGGTGTCTTAAATTGGAACGTTTCTTCACATTGGTACCAGAGTCACTAAATACCGAGTGTCCCGGGGTTTGCACAGTTGCTTGAATGTGCACATTTGGCTCCCTGCCATCATTCATGTGTCTTTTCACTCTGGAGGGCTTTGTCTTAGGGATTAACGGGAAGCCAGGCTGCCGGCCATGTCATAACAGAACATGGAGAGCGCCGCTGTGACGTGGCAGTAGGGAGCTCGTCAGAGCCTTGCTGAGCTGCGCTTGTCTTCGCTGGGTTGCACTTCGCAGATAGTTGGTTTTATAAATTGCTTCCAGAAAGTCTGCTGGCACCATTTTTCCAGCAGCATGTGCTCCCTTTGTGTCCTCTGTGTTACATTTTGGTTCTTCTCACAACATTTCAACCTCTTTCATAATGCTGTTGCACACTTAATAGACCAACGTAACTTTTGTATGCACTGGGAAACCAAGAACAGAAACCACATGACTCACTTTATTATGGTGCTGTGGAACTGAACCCACAATGCCTCTGAGCTCAGCCTGTCCTGAGTCTTTGGGGACTCTCTGAATGGGGTAGAAGATGAAGAACTTTCTCCCACATGTAGCCTTAAAGTTTTACGCCATTTACCTCAGTAACTATTTTTAGCAATTCATAACAAAGACATAATTATAGATGAAAATCGTTTTTGTTTTGTCTAAAATCGTGAAACGCTGGAAGTAATATTAGCAGGCTAACAAGACGAATGTGATTAAGTGAAGCCTGTAGTGCAGTCGCTGGCTGGAATGTCCGACAGCCACTTCCTGTTCTTGAGGAACGTGGGCTAATGCTCAATAGTGACACTTTGAGGAAAGGCTCTGAAATTTATGGAAACACGCACACACACGCACACGAGGCTGGAGTGGAATGCCTCCGACTGTTGCTGGCTTATCGTTGAAGGCATGGTGCAGGTGCTTTTCCTTCTAGTTTTCTCGGAGCGTTTTCTAAATGGTTCCCAGTTGACTTTTATAGATAATTCTTAAGAATGAGTCTTCTGAGAATATTCAAGAGTTTTATTTTCAAATAAGATTTGGAGTAGGTCACATAAGTCTTTATACAGCATACCACTGAATTGTTAAACTTTAAAACCCTCAGACTTAGTTTTGTGACTATAAAACATGAGTCTCATATTTGAGTATGACCTAAAGCCTCCTCATTTGTCCTCTGCTTCCCTCTGCCCCAGGTCTATCCTATGGCCGTGGTGGCCACAGCAGAAAGAGGCCTGATCGTCTACCAGCTGGAGAACCAGCCTTCTGAGTTCCGGAGGATAGAGTCGCCACTAAAGCATCAGGTGAGTCGGATGTCAGTGCAGGGAACTGGTTTTCCTTTGAAGATCTACTGCTTCCAGAGCAGGAGCAGGCAGGGTCGGTGGGTCTCTGGGGGCTTGGCCATATTGTCCAAACTGGAAGGAGGAGTGAGAATCTCAAGGTTGACTCCTCCTTGGGCGACCGCTTTGATCAGATCGGAGGGCCTGCTTCTGGCTCTTTGAACACCCAAACAGGGTAAAAATGATTTGCCCTTAGCTTAGTTGTGAAATGTATATCCCCCTGTGATGATAATACGCTTTTTTTTTTAACTGTAGCATCGGTGTGTAGCCATTTTTAAAGACAAGCAGAACAAGCCAACTGGTTTTGCCCTAGGGAGTATTGAGGGGCGAGTTGCTATTCACTACATTAACCCCCCAAATCCGTAAGTGGGAAGCAATCAATTTACCAATTTTCACTTCCGGCTTTGTAGTTGTTGTATGAGGGAAAACCTAGACGTGTCTTCGTTTTTCAGTGCCAAAGATAACTTTACCTTCAAGTGTCATCGGTCCAATGGAACCAACACTTCCGCACCTCAGGACATCTATGCGGTATGTTGGAAAACAACCTTGGGGAGGCATAGGACACTCTGCTAGGACGTGGTGGGTTTCTGGGAAAGCGCGAGGCAGCGAGAATTGTGCTCTCCTCGGAGCGCTGTGGGGCGTGTGCATGTCCACACGGGTGAGGGTCTCTGCTGCAGGCTTCTGTTTTCCTGCTTGTCCCGAGTGCTCTGGCACCCCTCTAACAGAAATGCCCCAGGTGGTGGCTGTGACAGGCAGAAACCCAGTTTCTCACAGTTTGGGAGGGTGCAAGTCGGTATGCAGAATGCTGGCTCTTAAGGGAAGCCTCGAAGGGAAAGGCGTTGTCACTGTTAGCTTCTGTCTCTTGGCTCCATGTGTCTTGCATCTCTTGTATCCCATCTCTCTCTGCTAGCCAGTTTAACTCCTTTTGTGTCTCCAAAGAGACCAACCCTAGATCCATCCTACACTAATCCTGCCTCCTTACACAACAAAGACCACCCCTTCCCAACTGGGATTGTAATCAGGGATTTAGAGGTTAGGATTTACAACCTATTTTGGGGGGATACAATACAGTCCACAACAGTGAACGTGTCGGCTCCATTCCCTGTTTCTGAATGGAAGCTTTGCAGTGGGGTGGCATTGCTGTTAGACGGTCTATACACATACACACATAGCTAACATAGAAATTGCTTTTGTCACACAAGAAAATGGCGTCTTCCTGGGGCACACTCCTTGGTGTTGCTAGTGTATGCATACACTACTTCCTGTACCTTGTGCTTGTCGCAGCGATTAGCCGTAGCTCTGAGCTGGCAGGGGGTTCAGGACACCCAGCCCGTTTCCCCTAGGCTTGGCCACCATTCTGCTGGCGTGACGGTCTACATTTTTAGTTTCCAGACGAGCATGGGACACGTGCACAGGAGGACCCTGAGCTCACTGCTGCCTTTGCTCTGCTTCTCGTTGTGCCTCCTCCTCACAGGTCAACGGAATCGCCTTCCATCCTGTCCACGGCACTCTGGCAACAGTGGGCTCTGATGGCAGGTTCAGTTTCTGGGACAAAGATGCCAGAACAAAACTAAAGACTTCAGAGCAGTTGGACCAGCCAATCTCAGCCTGCTGCTTCAACCACAATGGAAATATCTTTGCCTACTCATCTAGCTATGACTGGTCCAAGGTGAGACTCCACAGGCCCACAGGGGCAGGAGGTCTGGCTGAGGTCCTGATTGTGTTCGTCCTTGCTGTCTGTCCTCCGCCCAGCCAGGTCCCTGTCCCTGCGAACGGAGTTGTCAGGCCTTCCTCACAGGGCTGGGAGCTCGGGTGTGCCGCCTCCCAGCTCTGGGTCAGAGCCAGGCCTCCTTGATCCGCCACAGGGCCTCAGGTGGTCACCACAGTGAGGGTAAGAAACGCTTTCATCTCGCCCAAACCATGGTAGATCAGTTTGCATATTCTAGAATATTGTATTAATGGGGTTGTACCAATGGCACTCTGGTTTAAAGTTCCCTGCTGGTAACGGACAGGTCAGCTGTTTATGGGAGAAAGGTGATGCTGTCATGGGGCAGTTCTGCTCTGTCCCGTGAGGTCACTGTGCGTGGGAACCGACTTGGGCTGCTCTCACTCAGCCCAGATCATTTGGAACCCTGCCCCCTGCGTGTGCGCCGCTAGTTGGGTCCTGTTGTTGCTTGGTTTCCCGATAGGGACAGATCACTGCCTGTGCGCTATCGGGGAATTTTTGGCCTTGTGCGTCTGAGGGTGCCTCAGGGTTGGTTCTGCGTGAAGGTGGAGGAGGCTGCAGCCTGCAGGACAGGCACGAAGTGGCCGGGAGCGAGCTTGGCAATCTTAAGTGTTGCACAAAAACTGAAGGAATCAAACTGACCCCACCCATCAGTGTTGCCCATAGAGCAGCTGCAAATCCAGGCTTGCATTTAAAAAAGAGCTCAGGAACCTGGGCCACGTGGGATTGCTGTGCCGCTGTAGCACGCTGGGACTCTGCCCCTGCCTGCGGCCCCCCGAGGCTCCTGCCCAGATCCCCAAATCACCAACCCAATCACATCACTGAGCGACTCAGCACCACTGTGGCTGCCACTCCACTGCCCATGGGAGGGTGTCCACACCATCCTCCATCTTCTGACACCTGCAGCGCTGCACAGCAGGGCTCCGTCCTGGTTTCCTGGCCCCCCCCCACCCCTTGCCCAGCCCCAGCAGACCACCAGCCGTGCGCACTCACTGCCTCTGTTGGGGGTGGGTTCTTTGAGGCTGTGCCTTCGCCCTGTGACATCTCAGATTTAATGTCTTTTCTGTGAAACGGAACGGCACCGCTGCTCCTGCACTGGCCTCCAGGAGAGCACCGGGCCCTGTTCTGTGTAGGAAAGTGACCAAAGATTCCAGAGGCTCAGCACTTGGATTGCATAGACAGACGTGGGACAAGGTGCTGGGATTTGGTCGGTCCTGCAAGTAGGACACTGGCGACACACTGGGGCCAAATCCTGAGCCCTTTTCCTGAGGACTGAGGATTTGTTGTGATAGTGTTTCTCTCCATCTTCATTACTGAGGTTTGGTTTTGTTCCTTTTGAGAAGTGGAAGTCTTGGCTTGTAAAAAGTACTCAAAAAATGTTAGCTGTAGGTTCACAGAGCACATTTGATCGCAGTCCGCTAGGTAGCTCATCCCACTCCTGCATTTCCTTCTCTGTCTCCCGCTTTCCTGACCTCTCCCGCCTTTGGAGCTCTGTCTCAGATGGTGGGGTATTCTAAGGAGTGGGTACCTCCCTAGTGTCATTGTTGACCTTGTGGGCCTGTCATCTGACTGAAAATGGAGCGATGGCAGTGACTTCCGTTCCAGGCTGAACAAGGGAGGGACGGGGCACTAAGGGTCAGTGTTTCAGAGCTTCCACCCGTCACCTAACCAGTAAGTCTGGTCTTTAGGAGGGAGGTTTGTTCCACACTTTCTCCCACTCTCGGACCTTCTAATACAATCCCTTTCAGAGCCAGTGGTAGTGGTCGCCAGGCTCCAATCTAGCTCTTCTGACTTCAGGGTCGTGGAGATTATTCATGGGGTCCGTTTGTGCCCGGCTCTCAGTGTTTCCAGGCATCCTCAGTTTTCACCATTCTTCCTGCCTCTGGACAGCGAGAGACCAATAGTTGTGCCTTAGAGATGGTACTCACAAGCTTCTAAGGCCCCAGCCAATACTCACACCAAAGTAGGATGTAGGCTATTGTCTTTGTCTTTATGCCAGGTCATTTTGGTGTCCCCCAAACCTGGTACTGAGCCCCTAGACCCAGCAACTCACTTCCTCAAGTTGTTTATGTTCCAGAAGTTTCCATAGTTACCCCCTGTAGGCTCCACTGCCTTCATGGGTATGTTTGTAGCATCCTGTGTGCATGGTACTTGGTGTGCTCCACGCTCCCTCCCACGACCAGTCAGCCTGCACGTCTACTGACACATCCGCTCCGGGCCCTGGGTTACAGGGTGTGTAGACAACAGGATTTGCCTCTGTTGCCTTGAACTCTTGCTCTCCTCCCGTGTCTTCCTCTGCCTCCATCATTTTCTGTCGCCCCCCCGCCCGCCCCCAATGTAGTTTGTCCTCCCCTTCGCCCATTAGCAGTTGTCTACCGGCTAGCAGTGCCTTAACCCTACTGCCCCTGGCAGTCGTCAAAGAATGTTTCTTTTAATGTGAAAATAATTTGACTTACTACAATAGTAGTTTCGTATACTGTTTGCCCTTTGGTGATTGACTCAGCATCATGTCTGTCCACCAGGTTCACCTGTGTTGTGAGGTGTTTTGCAGATTCAGTGTTATTCTTTAACTATGTGGTGTGTTCCATTGTGTGTGTGCATACATCATTTGTTTAGCTATTCTTCCCATGATGGGTACTTCGGCTGTCTCCACCCTTTTATGAGTTGTGCTGTGTGCGGTAAGCATGGATGTGCATATATAGCTGTTGCTTTTAAGTAATCAGATGGTGGTTTGTCTTCCTCTTTAGGGGCATGAGTTTTATAATCCCCAAAAGAAGAACTACATTTTCCTGCGTAACGCAGCTGAAGAGCTGAAACCCCGGAATAAGAAGTAGCGGCCGGAGCCTTCTGGGCTGCCCTGTGCTGTGGCCCTCCACTTGGCCTCGTCTCTGTGTGACTGTGGGTCTGACTAGTGGAGGGTCAGCCTTGGCCATGGACCTCACCCCTGGAGGGAGCACTGGGCCTGCTCAGCCATCCAGCCCAAGCAGCCGCAGCCGCACCATGTCCATTCCACTGCCCAATACGAGTTTCCTCCGAAACGTCCAGGGGTTGAAGGAGTTCGATCCCTGCAGGCAGCTGCCGGTGTTCTTCAGTGCTTCGTTCAGCAATGTATGTGTTAGCGAGTATTGAAAAACATCCTGTGAACCCTCTACTGTATTTTGTAATAAAATATTTTGAAGACTGCTTCCCGAGCCTCCTGACCAGCCTTTCTCCCCAGCCCATCTCTGAAGTGTTGCAGACCCCTCCTCTGGGAAGGTCTGAAATCCTGTTCTTTCCCAGGGAGGGGAGGGGTGGGGTCTGGAGCAGGTGTTTCCCTAGCCAGGGGTAGGTCCGACAGCTGCTTCGTGTGTCTCTCTGTGCCCTTTCTGGTCTCCTCGGCTCTGCTGAGCAGCCTTCTGGGAGGTCATCAGCCAGGTCCGGCGTGGGGCTGCTCCTCATTCAAGCCCTTGGGAGTCGTAGCTTTGTTCTTGCTGTTTCTTTATGTCAAGTAATTTAAAATTCAAGATTGGTAAGTGTCAGAAATGAAATTCAATTTCACACATGATTTTTTAGTCTATTGTACTTTTACCCTGTGATCCCAAATGTTTATCTTACTCTCTGAGGAGAGTATATAAACTCCAGTTGGGTGTAAGATCTGGTGCTGATACATTGAAATACCTGTTTGTCTCCTCATAAAACAACAATGGAAATACAGTTTTCCACTGGGAGAGACTGCCTGCATGTAATGGTTGCAAGTTTTTGGTAGTCAGTTGGCAGGTGATTACAGCCCTGTTCATTCTTGGGCCCTGTCTTTTAGGCTGAAACTGTTTTTCTGACAGAGAACAAAGCAGGTGCATTACAAAACTGAACTTCAAGTTAACTGTTGACAGCTAAGTTTCTCCTTCCGCTGTATGAATCATCCCTGTGGTTTCACTCACTGAACCTATAGGAAGATCAGCGAGTCGAGAACCGCTGTGAGAAACTGAAGCTTGGTCATCGTCTCAGCCGGCTCTCATATGAGGTGGGAAGAAATGTACCGACTAGAGTTGAGCTGTAGTCTCATGTTTACAAGCTAGTGACTGACTGGTTGAAGATGACAAAATAATGAGTCTGCGTCATGGGATTGGGCCTTGCAAGGGTTAGACATGGACTAACAGAAGCCGGGAGTAGAGTATCCCTTATTGACCAGCAGGATGGGAATCCTGGGGCCAGGTATCCTGTGTGCCCGGCACCACACTCCTGGACTACCCTTTGTTTAGTGTGCCTGTCATTTCACTAAAGATGACCTTGAGGTGGTTACAGTTCAGAGTTTAAAGAATATCACAGGGAAGTCCTCTAGTCGCAACTGGTCCAGTAAGTCTGAATTTTTTAAGACTATGAGCCCTGTATCATGTTTTTCTGCATTGTCAGGACGTTTCTGTTGTGGGTTGCTGGTGGAAGCCAGGAGCCCCCCCACTTCTAGTCCTGGTCTCAGCGTAGATGAGACCCTAACCTGTTAGGCTGTTAGCCCTACAGACTCATTTCTTCTCTGAGACTTTGCCTTGGGTATTAGTTACTTTGATAGCAACTTCCAGTTCAAAAAGAAGTGTTACCTTGACTCTCCTAGTTTTAATAAATGTCAAGTCATACTCTGCCATTAAATATTAGCTGTACACTTCCAGAGCTCTGGTGTGGCGCTTGTAGAATAAGACCGGGTGGTCAGCAGCCACTCTTGGCAAACCTCTGCAGGGTCAGTGTGAATTGGAACTAGCTGGACAGCACGCAACGGCACTGTCCAAGGTTCTATTCTGACTCATGGTGACCCTGTGTGTGTCAGAATTGTGCCCCATGGGCACAATCTGAAGACTGATCTGTGGGAAGCAGATTGCCAAACCTTTCTTTTGAGGTGCCTCTGGGTGGATTTGAACTGGCCTGGTTAGTAGCCAAGCAAACAGGACTCCTGCTTTGGCTGAAAATGATGCCTCATGGAGGAGACAAATTTTGATTAAATTCACTTAGTGTTTTCCAACATTTTATGCAAAACTTCAAAACAGGAAACTTAACTTCGCAGTGAATACCCATATGTAGGAGTCCTTCTAGTGTGGTGCTGTAGGGTAAGCACTGGACTGCAAGGTCAGTTTGAACCACAAGGTTGGAGGTTCAAACTCCCCAGTCGCTCCTTGGGAACCCTATGTAGGGTCACTGTCAGTTGGATTCGACGGCCCTTAATGACCACAACAACCCAAATATATCTAACATCTAGACTCTGCTATTGCAGTTAAACTAGCAAAAGCTGGAACCCATAAGGCAGAAATCGGTCCAAAAATGACAAGTATTTCCCACTAAAATGAATGATAGGAAAGTGCTAAGAAAACAGCAATCCTGTCGAGTTCCGGTTCTTGAAGATGTTTCGCTATCATCTTTCATCCGTTTGGTTCTGCTGAGGTTTTCTCCTGCTTGTTCCCATCACCAATTTCTTGGTTGCTAAGCAAGAACACAGGCCTGGTGTGGGAACCATGGATCAGGATGATGCTGAAATGAGAGGGGTCTGTGGACTTGAGAGCTGACCGCTGCAGGCACCCACCTGACCCTTTGTTCTCAAGACAGACACGACAGCATCGTTGTGCGGTGAGGAAACTGGCTGCATTACTAACCCCATGTAGGGTTTGCTTCACCCACTATTAGGATCCCTGGTGGTACAGTGGTTAAAGTACTCAGCAGTTGGAATTTACCAGCTGCTTCACAGGATAAAAATGAGAGCCTGCTTCCGTAAAGATTACAGTTTTGGAAACCCTGTAGGGCAGTTGTTGGCCCTCCAGGGTTGAAATTGACTTTGCGGTCACTGGTGGAATCGTTGTCCCCAGTAGAAATGATGCTCCTCCAACCAGCCAGTCACCGCTTCTACCAGTGCACACTTCCTCTCAGCTCCATCCCCTTTGTACAATGGAAGTTGCCTTTCAAAACTAAATCTGCTCCGCCATAAATTTTAAAAATTCAGTGCAAGGAAATCTAGTAAATCTTGCCCGAAGTTGAAATCACCATAAAAAGGTAATAGAATGAAAATAAAGCACTGATAATAAGGAACTCTGGTAGCGTAGTGGTTACGATTCAGGCTGCAAACCTTAAGGTCAGCGGTTCAAAACTACCAGCCGCTCTGCGGGAGAAAGATGAGGTTTTCTACTCCCGTAAAGATTTACACCCTCGGAAACCCTGTACAGGGTCGCTATGGGTCGGAACCGATTCGATGGCACTTAACACAACAACAACAATGAACCATGAAGTAATGTGTGTATAATGGAATTTAAAATGTCATCTTCAGAGTCCTGGTGTGGCACTATGAGCTAATGTGCTGGACTGCAATGTGAGCTGACCTTGCGGTTCAGGCTCACCCACCGCTTCTTGGAAACCCTATACAGGGTCACTATGGGTCAGAAGCAACTCAACGGCACTTAACAACCACAAAGGTCATCTTCAACACTGAACTGGACAAGTTTCAGAGCAGAACTGCCCACAGGGTTTCCTAGGCCGTAATCAGGGAAGCAAACTAGTGGGTTCAAACCACTGACTTTCAGTTAGCAGTCAAGTGCTTAACCATTGTACTACCAGAGCTCCTGGATAGGACCCACATACCATACATGTAGGGATTTGGGGAAATTATATATATAAATTTTTTTTAATTCAGCCAAAATTTAAGTTTTCTTTAAATGAAGGGCATTATAGGAAATAAACCAAACACATGGGGAGCTTAAACACAGGAATATCTATGGCAGCATTTTTCAAATTAAATCATCACCCATTTGTGGGTTGTGAAATGAATATAGTGTTTGTGACTACTCTTTTTTTTTTTTTATGGTGCCACTTTATAGAACATACCTGGAAATGTAGCATACAGCAATACTAAATATTTTTCTTTAAACCTTTGTTTTTCCATCCTGTGTGTGTACGTCATATATTTAATACCTCACATTGGTACTTGTCTCTGCCCCTGTACTTGGGTGCACTCTCTTCCCAGGGATGGGAGAATAATGCTTGTTCTCAGGTCACTGTCCCCAGTGTAAACAACGGGACTTGGGATGAGGCTTAATAACCTGCTGGGAATACTGGTCATAGCTCTTTCTCTATATTCTCCCCCAAATGGAACGACCACTTCCAAAAATCACCCAGTAACAGCCCTGTGGATCACAATGGTCCGATCCACAACTGATCACTGGACTGACTCAGGACCGGGCAGTATTTCACGGGGTTGCCATGAGTCGGGGGCGGTTCATGACAACAAATCACATTGACTATAATGAAACCTTTGAAATATCCATATAAGTTTATGTATAAGACCATGAGCTCTGATTGTGGTCTGCCTGCCTGCCTTCATAGCCCAGCTTGGTCACTTAACAACTTCGTGGCCTTGGGCATGTGACTTAACCCTCAAGGAGCCTCAGTATCCTTGTCTGTTAAATGGGAGATATTAAGAGCAGCTATGGCCAATGAAGGAGTCTGGGATAAAGCACTGGACCGCAAGGTCAGCTTGACCCACAAGGTTGGTGGTTCAAACTCACCAGCCACTCCTTGAAAACCCTATACAGGGTTGCTATGAGTTGGAACCAACTCAATGGCACTTAACAACAACATGGTCAATGAAGACCATAGAAGAATGACTATGTTGAGTTATGGTGTGGGAGGAGAATAGTAAAGTACCACAGACTGCCAGAAGAAACTAATCCGTGTTTGAAGAAGTAACAGGATGGCCAGGATTTGTCTCTCCTACTTCAGACACATTATCAGGAGGGACCAGTCCCTGGAGAAGCACATCATGTGAAAAAGAGGAAGACCTCCAATGAGATGGATTGGCACAGTGGCAGCAGCAATGGGCTCAAGTGTAGCAACGATTGTGAGGTT